TTTTATATTTGTGTTACTAGTAGAATCCTTGTAAATATCAAGCAGTATATTATTGTGTATGCTTATCAAAATAATGTTTTGAAATTGACTTATTTTTTGCTATTATGGCAATGTATAATTTTGTGGACTTTTCTAATATTAATTTAGTTCATAACTTCTTCGTAAGGATTTAAATTAGTTCTAGTTATCGTAAAAGTATCCTTGTTTTATCAGCGTAAATGAACAAGACATTTGATTGAATCGATTCTTAAAAAAATATATCTTTAAACACTTTTTTATAAATGTTGATATGTACGTACAAAAAGATCGACAAGAAAATAAACAACAGATAAACATAGTTCTTGTAAATTTGATGCTTTGTTTACATAAGAGCGAGGCTAAGAATACGGGAAAAACACATTTTATCACTAACGTGTTATTAGGTATTACTCAACGCATCGCATTATACACAGGTAATGTGAACATTGGGATGTAAACATCTTGTTTTGATACCAACTGTACCTAAATGCTTACCTGTACATATACATATTTGAGCTGTGACTACACTGAATGTAAATAATGTAATAGGTCATAGATAGTCATAGAGCTGTAAAATAAGAATATAACTTGTTCCTATTTTAAAAAACTCAGTAATATTTTACTATAAAATATAGCCTTTTTTTACGTGGCACTTAGCCGTTAAACTATCACAGATAGGGCCTGATAGGGCTGATGTTTTGATGGTGGCGGGTACAAGCGTAAAAAATAACCCCGCCTCCAGCCCAGAGCAGGACAGGAACGGTGTAGTTTTTAGTCAGGAAGAGTCTAAAACTCTTGCCCCAGAAAGTCATTTGATGATGTAGCTACGTAAAAAACGTGGCACTTACAACAACTAACGAAAAGCAAATATAAACGTAGTGCATTCGCACTATCTTTTCAGTATTCTGTGTAGTAGTTTGTTTATGTTTTCATTTAAGAATAACGTCATAAGCGCCATGATATGCATACACGGACAAATTCAAACAAAGAGATCTAATACGTTGCTCTATTCTTTGTAACAAGTAACTTAATTTGGCAATGAAAATAATTTACTATTGTTTGTTTATAACACTGATAAACACTAGTTTCTTTACAATGTAGCTATCAATTAGCGTCGTACTAATTAAACTCAGTGATGGACATAAAATAACAATTATAGGTCCGTACTTTGCCCCTTACTACGAGTAGTAAATAAAAAACCAATGACCTCTAACCAATCAAGTGATCATTAAAGTTTATCAGGACATCAATGAATGGATGTGCAACGTAAACTGAATATTTTTCTCTTCACATTCACACAATCGCCTATATTGGTTATGTATTTCTATTGCACAATTATAGTTCTTACTTTGTTATTTGTTTTCAGTGTAATAAGCGTAGTACGTTGTGAGTTAAATGCGTTCTTGTAAACTTATTATGTTTACTCAATACAAGCGCCCTCTTTTGTAATAAGAATGAAAACGGTTTTTCTATTTACTTCATTCGATAATAGATGGCGGTGTTGCGTAATGAGGTTTGTTTACTAAGTACGGTTTGTAAACAAATATTAGTTGACCTCATTAGTTGATAGAATACACGTGATTTATCTTGGATGACATGGCTTCAGACACTTGTTTAACGTTTACTCCATGAAAAAAGAATCAATTTCATAGAATAGAATGCGCAAATGTGGATATTTGCAGTCCTCTTCAATCGATTACTATCCTACTGTAGTCAAAATTCATACGTTGAACTGGTAAAAATAAAATAAAAATGTTATGCACACGCGCATTCCGTTCGTAATTCCATACAAATGATTTCAATAACTTTTTCCACGTAACGTTGGCTGCATACCGTATTTGTGTGACGTAACGGCCGGCTTATTTGTTTTGTTTAGCGGGCAACTTTAGCGCCGGCCGCCGGGGTCACGACTTGTTTTCAATACATTTAGATTTTGTTGACGGCCAGTTGTTCCATTTGTTTGTTTTATATAAATCAATAATATTAACATAACACCACGCCTCTTTCGTGAAAGGTGTTGGCAGGTGTGCTAATATGGGGTGACCAGTTATCGTTACATACACACAGTAGGGGAAATTCCATAATTTATTCATCGGGAGTATGTATTGTAAATTGTATAACTAATGACAATAAAAAACAGTAAAAATGTTTTCCACCGTACAGCTCCAAATAGTCGTTTGTCATATCATAATATGCAAGCCTTTTAAAAATAAAATAGCAAAATAAAAAGCAAGACTAACACTGCCAGTATTCCAGAAAACTCGACGTCAAACGATATGAAATAAACCATCCATTTCCTTCGAACCATTTCTCTTTATCAGTTCATCTCCCAGCAGAGATTGCAAATGTCTATCTCGGAGAAACCTAAGTTTAATACCTATAAATACTGAGTAAATTCATAAAATATCATGCCACCCAACTACGCATTCTAGGAAATTAAACCTGCATAGAATATAGGGTTTTGAATTAAATTAATATGAAATAGCACTAAGGAATTGCGTTCTGGAGTACTGTATGTATTCAAATACGTAGCTGGAAGGCTGAGGGGAATTTGAAATAGGGAAGCTTATGTTAACGTTCCGCGTTTGTCTTTATGCTGTCTACGAATGCGGTGCGCTGTCGTGGGAAATTTGTGAATGTTGTACTTTGTGTAGTAATTAACAGAGTTTCAGTGGTGCCTAAAATAGTCTTTTTTGGTAATTGAGTGTCAAAAATGCCCAACTAAAACCCATTTTGAAACTTCTTCACTGACATGGTTGAGGAATAATGTTATCCATATTTCGTGTATCAAAATGCATTATTTAAAGTTGGAAGTAAAAGCAGCCTTACCCAGAACCCAGCCCACTAACATGACTATAAAATGTTTTTATTAAAAAATAGCATATCTATCCAAAATAATGAGCCGTATAACTTAGTCTGGTATTTTTATTGTCTCCACGGAACAACCGTTCAACATAAAAACTTATTTTATCATCCACATCGGTTTTATGACGTAGTTAGTGCACCTACGTGATGTCCTATAAACTGAAGAGTACGAAACACGCGTTCACTTCGTCCTTGAACATTTTTGGAAGAATCGTGACAGACTGATTGTCAGAAGTATCATCGAGACTGGGTCTTTGGAATATAGCAACAGAAGAAACATGTTAAAAACCTCGAGTGAGAAAGTTACATTAGTATCTTGTGTTGAAGCTATTAAATAGCAACGTTTCATACTGTTGAGTAACTTAGAAAATTGTATTCCAACAGCAAAATAAGCAGATATTCATGAATAAATATTTTAATAAACAGAGAGCTTGGAAGTTGGAAGCTATTCGTAACGCGCAATATAGCACTAGCATGCGAGAATATACAGGCTATGATAGCGTTAGTAGGCGTTATGGCGGGACTGGCGGGGTGGTGGATGCTAACGGTGGCAGATTTATTTATATGGGACTGAAATGTGGGCAGGCACTCGGCTTAACATGCCGACTTTCCATAACGAGCACCATATTCAGTCCCCTTAACAAGGATTGGGAAGTCTCTGGTTCTTTGTAGATACTTGAAAATATCCTTCTAAATGAGATCGCAGATTTTTGCTCACCACAAAGATTCGCAAAAAAATATCCTACTTTAATTTTGAAGAGCTCTCCTGCATGATAATTAAAACTGTTTTCAGCAAAATCCGCCTCAAGTCAACCAATTACGAGGGCACAATTTTGAGTGAATAAATGAGTCAGCCTTTTCATTTTCCTAGCCTGAATTAGAGCGTTCTAAATTGGATCTTATATAGATACCTTTTAGTGTTGAATTGGTTCGCTCTATTTCTATTTACGGTGTCTTACATTTGATCACATAACTTATGCATGTGGCTGAGGTTCTGAACGCGAAGTTGGAAGTTTTAAAATAGGCTACGAGCTTGCAAAGTGGGTTGAATGTGTACGATCGGTATCCATTCTTGTATTCATAGTACTCGTTGATAGTTCTCTGATATGAGTACAAATGTGGAGTTCTCTCCGTACTATATTCGCCGTGTGTTGTAAGCGGATGCATTGATCTGAATTTGAATGGTAGTACGAATGTGGGCTCGTGTTCATAGATGAACAGTAGGCGTTTGCGTCTATTCTGAATTTGAATCTTGGTCATGGAAATATCTATTATCACTGCAGGCAACACACGACAATAACAAGCTAAGACACACCATCATAGATACTGATGTTCTAAAAGTAACTAAGTAGTTAATTGTTATTTTTCTGAAGCGCAGTTTAAATAAAGTAATCGCTGTCTAGACGGCCTATTTGATCATTATAATGCTTTGACAATTTCTGTATGGATCAAAATAGTCTGTGAACCAGACATAACAAACTCCCCTAGCATTCAGGCTGGAGTGCATTCAGAGCGTTGCTATGGCAACTGTTCATTATGACCTACGTCACTGGCGCTGCCTGTCCGCTTATTGAATTTACTGCACTGCGGGCGCCAATAAGCGGCACGTTGTACTATTATCTTATATCATATATAGTTTTAGGTCATTAACTAAGTTTACCAAGAACTCAATCTCTACATGACAATGTTGGCGCCCGACACAACCCGCCCTGACCCACGTTGGGCGCCAAATATTGATTATACGTACCCTCAACTTAAAAATAGTATTTTAATTCCTTAAATGCATTTTCTGCTTGGTAGATGTCCAAGTTATGGCGAATAATGGTGTACTTGGAATTATTAATGGAAAACTTTTGGAAGGAAACTTGTTTTCTTGTATACCCGAATAAACAATTTAATCTCGGATTATGGATATGCCTATTTTTAGTTATCCTCGTGCCGGGATGGTCTTTAAAGGTTTTAGCTATTGAATAATGTTTTGTATAGGAAAATGACATAGTATTGTAATGAAGTGACGTGTAGTAAGATGGTTGTACCCTGTTACTGGAGAAGTAAAGCTACTAAGTGTATGTATGCATGTGTATGTATTCTAACAGGTTTTACCCTACGTTTTTCAGATGCACGCTACGCTTCCCTTCCACGAACATTCGACTGGAGTTCCAGTCGCTGGTGGAGGAGAGCGGCGGCGGGGCTGGTGGTAGCTCCGGCCAGATGCCTCCCTTACGCATCACCATCCCCTCAGACAGTGACGGTCGAAGCCCTGCGCCTTCGCCTACAGGTAACATCAGAACTGTAACTTAACTGTAGGAGATTGATTGGGTTTCTGATTCTATGGGTTTGGAATGTTACACCCACGACGCAGGAGAAATTCCTAATGTAGGGAACCGTTTTTTTAAGAGAAGACAGTGTGCTTCTCCCTACTATATTATTATGCGAAGCGTAACATATCATGAGAAAAGTGTGTGATAATATACTATGGACCATTGAAACGCGACACCAAAGAGGCTACGGGTGCGTTGCCGGCCTTTTGGAGATAAGGGTTTCGGATGTTTCAGGATTGGGATGGCCATCCCATCCCAATCCTGAAACATCCGAAACCGGACCGGACGACCGGACAGGGGGAGGGACTGGGCTATACGTAACCTCACTTACACGGCGGAACAACGCGGTTTTTTTCTGTAAAATGTTGCAAGTGAAGTATGAACGGTAACGTTCATAAAAATAGAGAATAACTCACTGTACATATTCCTTACCCGATATAAATCAGAATCAGTATAAATAATTAAAGTCTGTTGTCTATGAATGTAATACTACCGCAATGGTCCCATGTTACAGGTACAATAAGCGCCGCCAACAGCTGTCCGACGTCGCCGCGCGGAGCCGGCTCTTCGGGCCGACGGCACGCTGATCTCGGCCTCGTGGCCCACTATGCAGCGTTGGCCGACCATGCACGGCCCAACTCTAATGGGACGGCTGTAAGTACTCTACACTGATGACAGAATCACAAAATAAAAACGAATTTAAAAACTGATCTTGCAAAAAATATATTTTTTTATGCGATTAGATGGCAAACGAGTAGTCGGAATACCTGGTGGTAAGCAAAAGGCGGCGCACATGCACACCCGCACTAATAAAGGTGTCACGAGTGCGTTGCAGACTTTTTGGGAACTATGGATTCGGAGATTTACGGATGGTGGGAGGCCCAATACTTCCCTTATTGCGGCTCTAGTAACCTCACTCATACAGCGTATTGATTTTGATTAAGATTTCCTAAAATAAACATTTTTTGGTGCATAATAAAATAGTTTCAAGCAACCTCTTACGTTTCAGGCTTCCTCCTCGAACTCTGACTCAGGCTACGGCAGCACGCGCGACGTGCGCGAGGCTCGCGAGCCCCGCGAGGCGCGCGACGACGCCAAGCCGCCGTACAGCTACGCGCAGCTCATCGTGCAAGCCGTCGCCTCCGCGCCCGACAAGCAGCTCACGCTCAGCGGCATCTACAGCTACATCACCAAGCACTACCCCTACTACCGCACTGCTGACAAAGGCTGGCAAAATTCCATTCGTCACAATCTATCGCTCAATAGGTCGGTCACTCAATGTCTTGTAAATACAAATGTTGCAGATGACGTATCAAAGCAATGTCTATTCGTTATCCAAACTTCAATCACGTAAATAACATAATATGTATATTTATGCCCGAAATAATTAGTTAATCATTTCAGAAATATTCAGGATATTGATTAGAATTGTCACAAAGGGCATGTGTTTACTGTCAGGAAGACTATCAAATATTGTTTCTTTATGAAGTTCTAACTATACTCACAAGTTCTACCACATTTTCCAGATATTTCATCAAGGTCCCACGCAGCCAAGAAGAGCCCGGCAAGGGTAGTTTCTGGCGCATTGATCCTCAGAGTGAAGGAAAACTGATAGAGCTCGCCTTCCGTCCGCGGCGTCCTAGGGGCGTGCAGTTCCGAGCACCCTTCGGCCTCTCCTCCAGGTACCAGATATTAAAAGCATGATACAAGTACCGTGTATTTAGTAAACGTAGAAAATTCTTCATAAACCTCATTCTTCATAAACTTGTTAGTAAAATCAAAAACAAACTTGAATGAGTTCTGATGAAAGTCTCTACCAGCATAATGTCAAACAATAAGAATCTTATCATCCAAATTAAGAGAGACCAATTGGAAAATAAGTTAAATAAAAAGCTTGTAATAGTTGATCAAGCACCTATGTCCTATCATATCGTTAGTCTAGTATAGCCACTCGTCAGGGTGTAGTTTTAGATGTAAAGGACCTCTACAAGTATAGTCTAATGTCGACAGGTGCTTTTCAAGTAAAGTTGCCAGATCGAAAGTCAAGAAAAAACCATAACCGAATCCGGACAGGATCGAGCTTAGTTTTAAGCAAAGAGATGTTATAAATCAATCACGAGTTACCCTAAATCAGGGGTACCCAGCGAGGTAACGGCCGGTTGTTTATCAAAGCTGTTATCATTGATGTGTCGAGGCGCCTTCTGGCACTTTCTATCCTCTGACCCCAAAATAAAAAATGAAACCTTATAGGTTCCGTTTGGCTACTCTGAACCAAATTTAGTCCAACTGGATAGGAGATAAAATTGTTATGACATATGCATTTTGGTCCTGATTTGGATGTAGTACAAATTTATTTAAATTAAAATGTTCTAGAATGATCAATTTATTATTTGGCTGTGCCTCAAAGTCCCCCGCGCCAGCGGGCGGCTCGATACTGGTGCGTGTGTGTGTGAGGTATAGGCTGAGCGTGTGTGTGTGGTACAGGAGCGCGCCGACGTCGCCGTCGCAGGTGGGGGTGTCGGGGCTCGTCACGCCCGAGGAGCTCTCCCGCGAGCCCACGCCCGACCTCTTCCCTCCGGAGGACCAGGACCAGCAGGTCAACTCCTCGGTAACGTATTACCCCTCTTTACCTTTCCTGTCGCATGTCGAGGAGAAGAAATTTCAATAGGAATATGCAGCACCTTCATAAAGATTTATGAAGGATTCTGCACATTTTGATAAGTGCTGGATGCATGCTTTATTACAGTTATGCTTTCCTATGAATTGTACTATAAGTAAAAAGGAATTGGACATGACAATATTTACAAAATGTTTGTGTGCAGTAATATTTTTTCTGATATCAATTCATATTACAATCTATACAGCAATAAAACAAATTTGAATAAGGGATATTAGGATTATATTTTTTTCGAGTTTTATATTAACAAAGAAATTAAACCCTTACAGGCGAGTAACCAACGGTTGAGCAGCAATAACAGCCAGTCGACGCAGTATCTGTTCCCGCAGCGTAGCGGGGTCAGCCAGAGTGCACCCGGCTCGCCAGGTATTTATATTCACCCTACATCTTAAACTTGTAAACAAAACTAGGTAAATTGCAGTGATGTGATGAAATAGCAAGACTTTCCAACTTTGTTTCTTTTTTTTAAAGAGAATACATGATATACACATAGTTTTACTAGTTATGTCTGCCTACGAGATTGTCCGAATAAAAGTCTTTGTAACTGACTGTATGCCAGGACCTCGATAGACAAAAATCCATAAGATATGAGTGTATAGGTTTTTATGACTTGATTGGCGGACAAAAATATATACTATTCATGTTCTGTGCTCATGTTCAGGACGAAAAATTTGAAACGAATATAAATGTTTGTACAGGTCACGGCCTGGCGTATAGTGCCGGCGGCGGCGCGCTAGTGATGGCTGGCCACCAGATCACCGTAGTCACCAACGGAGCCGGCGGCGAGAGAGAAGGTAACCCTTACACTAGTCTTCTACCTACTTTATATGGATACTGGAACTGGCTAAGGCTTTCGACAACCTTTAAATATTTTACCACCCTAGGTAAATGTACTATGGTGTTCACAGTATCTTTAAATGCTTTTTATTTAAGATTTAATATTAAAGTACATGCTTGCTTAGAATTTTACGGTTATTAAACTCTCTTTAAGTATATTTTTCTTATGTTATCGGGGGTTCCTCAGGGTATTATATTGTATCCATCTCATTATAAGGATAATTGGCTCAATATAAAAGGGTGTGAAACTGATGTACCATTTTGATGTTTACAGAGAAGTATGTGGTGGGCACGACTGGTGGTAACCTGGTCTCCATCCAGGAGGAGGAAGTGCCCGCCAACGTCGTCATACACCAGCACTCCCCCTACTACGGGTAAGTTCTTATTTACACATTAAACTGTACTGCGGATTTTCTTTAAATGGTTTTTCCTTAAAGGCAGATAAAAAAATTATCACCTCGCTGTTCGAAGCGAGTGCTACTGAGTAAATGGTTTCTGGTTTGTTTGTTGTATGTAAATACCTCTAAGCTAAGTATGTTCGTGTTTATGTTCCAGCGGTGGCTACGGGTCTGGCGGAGGCGAGGATTGCGGCGCGGTCGGGGGGGAGCTCGTCATCTCCGAGGCAGAGCAACTCGCGCATCCGCCGCACAAGCGCGCCAGGCACAACAATGTACGCACCACTTGCACCCTTCCACACTCTACTGATCTACCCTCTACTGCTGTGAGCGCTTTGGCTAATCTAAGTGCACGTGATGTTCCAGATGTCTGAGCTGGAGGAGCGGCGCGCATATTGACGCGGCCAGGCGGGCGGCCCGCGCCCCGCCCCCCGCCCCGCGCCGCGCGCCCGCCCCGCGCGCTAGTGCCAGCCGAGCCGCGCTAGTGCCGCGCTAGTACCGCACTAGTACCGCGCTAGTGCCGCGCTAGTGACCAGTGCGCCCCGGCCACGCCCTGCGTCGACCCATGAGGCGCCGTCACCTCCCCCATATCGAATACCCTCGTCCTGTAATATTTCATTCTTTGTAGAACACTAGTGCAATATTGTACGATGATGTTAACTAGGCCTTCTGAAGGCCAATAATTCGTAATAAATGATAATTTAACGACATGTTTCTGTTTGCTTTCATACTCTTGTACTGTACAGTCCAATAAGCTTTGTAAGCTGATGAACATATAATTATATGGTATTGGAACTGGTAACAATAGTCTGGTAGTTGGTTTGTTCACTCATCGGTCGACGCACAGGATATCGTAGCAATAATAGTGATACGGAACTATGAACAATGGGTTGTTGAACAAGACAGTGTAGTATTAGTGTCGTGTGTTAAGTTGTACTCTTTAAGTTAAAAACTTTTGTTCAGTAAGACGCGAACGAGCTTTAAGGTGAAGGAATTAGGAGTGACGTAAGATGGTAACGTTTCGCTGTTTATATATAATTTTCACTATATATTAATAATATATACGCTTCACACGCGCCCGCGACTCGGGCGCTGTACACAGATTGCATATTATTACATGTATATGAGCGATATTACATTGAGCGGGAACTTCGCTCAACTTTAGTTAGCTGCCTTGAAAACTAAGAGCCTTTAAACAAGACTAAAATAAAAAATCTGATACAATAAATATAACCATATCAGAATAACAGAGGTTTCTTGCAAGTATCGAAGTAAGTTTAGCAATGTGCAAAGCAGTGCGCGGAGGTACACCTTGAGCGACGGGACTTCGCGCGTCTGTATTGCGCCTATTACTGGGTTGCCAGCTTCGAAAATATTCGAAAGTATTGCCAAGCTTGAATATAATATGTAAAATATGTGTGTGTAAAAACGTTAGAATCTATAGTGAGTAATAGATATTGTATGGAATGTACACTGACTGTAATAACTTATAAAACTGCTGCAAAGGTTAACACTGTAACGCCTAGAATCTCGAGATTAGCGGAATATTTCTGAGGCTGGCATTATATCTAAGGTGAGTGCAATGATAGTAGTAACAAGTTGATGAAGTATATAAATGTATGTATCGAATATTTCGCGTATTTGTTTGGGGATTGGCAATTTTTGTACAATGATCAATATCAACAAAAACTTACACCAATAGAAATGGGTATTGCTTAGAGTTACAAGTTCAGTCAATAGGATCATAAACAGATATTGGCATTCTCCAAACAAAATTTCCAGATCAATACAATAATTCATTGTTAAAAGTAATGCATACTCCAAGAATTGAATTCGTTGAAATTATATGAAAAGATATGTATAAACAATGTAGGTACAGTTTCGTTCAACGGGTGTCGGACGCACCCATTTTATCGAGAATTCGTCCATACAGTTACCACTGAGTATATAATCAACGGAATGCCTACAATAACAATTCTTACACGATTCCTACTGATACAGTAGGATGGTATTTTTTTCGAGAAATTGGCAATATTCCATTTTGTTTACATACTCGGTGTCTCTGCAGAATTTTCGATATTTCGTGAATCTATTTGAAAATAAAGTTGATAAACCTTTATAACGTTATGTAATAAAAGTGAACAGAGTTCGGAGTATTTTATTTCTGTATCAAAACTGCTCCAAGCCCTCTTCACGTTTAAAAATGGTGAGACTATTACAATGATTGTTGTATTTGAATAAATCATAGCGAATTTAAACGCAGGTGCAACGACCTACGAGATCTTAGTTAAAATAAATTGTAATAAAACAATTTTTCTATAGGAAAATTTACACGTAATATTCTTGAGTAAATACGGAAATAATTTTCGTCTTAGAACGATATTTCGATTCTTTTATTTACTATTGTACTGTGTATGTAAAGGCCATTTTAAATACTATATTTACACTTCTATTTGTCATTACAACTCCGTTCACGAATTTTTAGACGAAAGTTACTATTGTATAACGTTTAGAAAAATAAAATGAAATTTACGTAGATATAAATACTTACATTTGTAAAAATTCTTTCACTAATTTTTAAATGATAAATTTTTGATAAGAGGCTCGTTGCACCTCTATAAAATGATAAAAAAAAACATTAGGACGAGTTTCTACTATTATACTACTAACATATAACATGTACAGATAAACATATAATTCAAATATACAAAGGAACTGTTGACTAGCGCTTACTCATGTATCTACACTCGAAAATATATAAATATACATACTTTATTATACATGTATCTTCAACATTACTATTTAATTATAAAATTAAAGACATTTCCTTTAAGCCGGCAAAAGTACCTACAATATACTTGTGATTTAGCTTAGATGAACAACTTACTTTTGTGTTCTCTTTAAAGAATAATTTCTCCCTCGTTTTAGGTGTATAAACATAATTATTATAAATAAATAATAATATAGTAATTGAATATGTAAAGTAATATTCACTAGTAGTTTGTAATATGTTATTATTATTATAAAAGATAGTGTAAAAACCGCAAATCTACAGTTAGTTATAATTTAGCATTTAATGATGCGTATACACGTCGATTGTAATAGTTTAGCAAGAGGCTTTCTTATGGAACAAATTTGTATTGTGTCTTACATACCCTTTTCATGTTACTGTGAAGCAATTCGAGAAAATTTATCGCTATCCGCTGAGTCGGAACTACTTCCATATATTTATTTCTTAACTCAAGACAACAATATCGGCTCAAGCATCGGTGCGATGTGACATCGGTGTTTGTCGGTTTTCGATTTATTTACCTTTTTAGTAAAGACGACACGCCATTTTACTTTTTAAAATGGCATTAACGATTTGTAAACAAACTTGGAGTAATATTATATCGCTCGCCGCCGACAGATGGCGGCAGATATCACGATGGGGGTTATTGTAAAAACATTTGTATAGAAACTTGATTTGTTGATATTATATTTAGATATTTACGTATTTGGATGGACGGCTATGGTAGATAACAATCTCAGTATAAGTATATACATGTAACTATTTGTTCATGTTTCAAATATAACGAAGCTTTATAATAAGCAATGAATATACTAATCTCTATCCAAATGTGTAAAATGTCTAGAACAAGCAATTCCTGCTCGAGGCTCGACGTGAGGCCACATGGCATTGCGACGCGTGGTTACAAACCGCGCCGACTGGAAGACTGGCTCACTGTGTCGTGTGGACCGAGCCTGTATAGCTACTCTGTATAATATTGCTTCCAAAATACGTTGCTCGTATCCCGACGAACGAAAGGAATTTTACAAGTTTGCTGCTTATTTTGTGTGTAATCGGGAGTACTATATGGAGCAAGCAATTCACATAAAGTACTGCTATCGTTTCTATATGTTACACGTTGTACCATCTCCCAGTAAACCTTATCGCGACGATATCAGCTCTCGATGTGAATTGAATACGGCGGCCTCCAGCACTAGCATAAACTGAGCAAGTCCTGGCGACTTTAGATGTAACGTAGATTATATAAGGCATATATATAAGGCATTTAATGCTATACTACTTCTTGTCTAAACAATGTTATGCGCGAAATGAGGACGCGGAGAAAAATTCATTCTGTATGTAACTCTAATTTTGTCTTTAAATAATAATATATAAAATAAATTTACATATTCACGATGTACCTATCTGTTTACCGTGTGCAGATATAAAGCAATATCTCAGTGCGAATAATACAAGTACCAACTACTTAAAATTGCTTCAGTGTCATTGGAGCTATGTACTCAGTGAAGTTTCTCCGCGTTCGTATTTCGCGAATGTATGTAGGGAAGGTACATAATGTTGTGTATATTGATATAGATAAGAACACGCATACGAGAGATGTAAAGGATATCGGTTGTAATGACAGCGTATGGTTTATTGACAAATTTTAAGAAATAAACGTATTTTATCTCCTTAAGCTCTTCGTTTTATTTTTGTCAGCTTATTATTTATTATTAGCTTTTTATTAAAGTCAGTGGTAACTTTGAGTGATTAGTTTCCAGTCCCGGCTTCGCACGGGGTCAATTTTGATAATAAATGTCTATACATATAACACTTCCTTTTGAATCATTCTGCATATTCAAAAACCGCACCAGGATGCGTTGCGTAGGTAGTTTTAAATATTGAAACATACATAGGAACAGAGAAAGCGACTGTTTTATGTTATGTAGTGAAAAGTAGAATCGTATTATCGACTTTGGATAAAGCCAGCCTACATCCTCTTTTATTGTATTGCTATAAGCTGTACCTACCTGCCATTAAAATAAGGATGACGTTATAGTTACTACATACCTACATAGGTACAGATACAGAATCTAATAATAATACTAAGTATTTAAACATTACTCAGAACGATCCTAATCTTTTACATAATGTAAATTAGTCGCAAAATGTGTTGGTATGCGCATAACTCAACAACGCCTTTTTTTGTGATAGTTTGGCAAACGAGCAGACGGATTACCTAATGGTAAGCAATCAGCGCTGCCCAAGGAAATCAACAGAGGAGTCACGGGTGTGTTGCCGATCTTTTAGGTATTATGGATTTGGAGATTTATGGATTGGGGTTAGCAATTTTACCAATTCTTTGTTTGTTGTATTTATTATTGTCAGGTAAGGGTTTTATTGTTATAAAAGTAGGGAGGAGTATTGGAAATAAATAAGTAATGACAAATAGTTATATATCCGTGCGAAGCAGGGGTGGGTCGCTAGTAAAATAATTATCTTTCAAGCGGCCATCCACAGTTATCTCGAGTGCCCGACAAGTGCAGTATTGCTCGCATATTTCGCTTTGAACTTGAATTTATATTGCTAATAGTTATGACTGCGTGCATAAGTATATTAAAGTTTTAAGTACCTATCTGCATTATATTGAAATAAATCAGAACTAATCTAAACTTGATTATTGTTATTATTAGAGATCCGTATTTTAGGTATGCCAACGTTTAAAAATGACATAATAAATGGCGCTGACACTCACGGCAAAAAATAATTATTTTGACTTGTTAATACAATAAATTGCTAAAATATCATCATTTTCACTTTCTTTTATTAATTTGAAAGAAAGTATCTACTCAATTTTAGATTTTTTTAATTAACAATTTTTTAAAACATTGAGACGTTAAAATTATGTTGCGGTCTCATTCAAAATTCATAAAAAAGTACCTATCGTTTCTGACATTTCAATAAAACTATTGAATTTGTCTTTTTGGGAACCCCAGTTTTACAAAGTGGACCAGGGAGCTGGTGTAGGTACCTATCTCCCTAAGTTATTGTACATACAACACACATAAGTGACGAGCAGTGTTTACAATAAAATCGCAAAGATCTTGACCTTTTTTAGAATCTGTTTGAACTAACGGGACGACCCTAGTTAAAAGTATTCGGGTTAGTCCGAAGTTGTAAAAATAACAAATAATTAAATATTTTATTTTACCTCTTTTATTAGATATAATTTAGCTACCTACTCAATAAGTTAAAGCTAACCCGAGATAAGATGGTAAAAATAAAAATAAATAAATGTCTACCTAATACGAATTGTGAGGAAAAACATCACAAATAGATATGATACTACATAGGTACCTAAACACTTAACTGTCCTAAAAGAAGATCGATAGATTGCAAGTGCACACAGACAGACAGGCTTAGTGCGATTACAATACGTGACATAAGTCACTCAAAAGAGCTATTTTTGTGTTTTTAAATTGTTACCAAGTGTAGAATTGCACTCAGGGACGATAAAACTTTTATCTGAGATAAAATTAAATAAAGAAGTATTATTGTTCAGAGACTTGAAAACATGAAAAAGAAACAAAATAACTTCTTTTGGTCATTTGTTCCACATTTTTTGTTTATCTTCCGTATGCCAGTTGGGTTTACAATAACATAATTTCATCAAACTCAGACTAAGATCGATTTGTGGATCGCAAAAAGAATTGTTCCTTGGGGAATCAAATAAATTGAAATAGTTTAGCACTAGCAACTCTCGCGCAGCTTTTAAAGTTGGTAGCGTGATATTTCATAGCACTGAGAAATAAGTATTGTAGCTATTTATCAGTGAAAGAATTTTCGAACCACACCGGTTCCAAAGATTACCTCTACATACAAAACTTACTTTTTTATAACATTAGTTTAGATAGGTACTTAGTTATACTTTCTACATCCCAAAATAAAACGTCTCTTAATAGATAAAGAACTAGATATCACATCATCAGCTTATAAGTTTCCATTATTGAGCTGTGCCGTGGCCTCTTAAGACAGAGAAAATATTTGAGTATTAATCATCACGCATTTTCAAGGCGGACTGCTGATTTTCAACTTATAATTAAAAATGATAAGCCCAGGTTTCCTCAAGATGGTGTTTTCTTTCACCGTATGTCAATGGTGTCTAAATAAAATACACTTAGAAAGGACCCATCTACATATTATGTATAACTAGGAAACGTCACAGTAGTACTTGCCATAGTAGGTTATATGTATAGAACATGAAACAGACTACTTAGGTATGTATAAATCTCGTTAAATTATCTTCAGATTAACTGCATCATCAGCCCATAAGTGCCCACTGCTGAGCAAAGGCCTGTTCTCACACGGAGATGGTTTGAGCATTAATCACCACGCTTGCTCAATGCGGGTTGGCGATTTCAAACTTACAATTAGAAATTATAAGTCCAGGTTTCCTCACGATGTTTACCTTCACCGTATGTCAGTGGTGTCTAAATAATCATAGAAAGTACATATAACTCGGAAAAAGTCACATTGGTACTTGCCAGGTTTCGAACCCTCATGCATGAGAAGCGGGCTCCTTAACGTCCAGGCCACCACGACAGATTAACTGCCCGAGGAGTTAATTAAGTATTACTTAAGTACTGGTATTAGATACTATTATTATTTGTATGTAAACATCACAAGTAGTGTGGTGCATATATGTATTACATTCAGTAATTATTGAATTATTAAATTGTAGATATCTGCATGTATGGTAGACTAGCTACTCTCGCGCGGTTTCACCCACTGCTCAGCGCCATTTGATCGTAGCGTGATGTTTTATAGCCTATAGCACTGAGGATCGGAGATACGGTGAGAATCGGAGATTGTAGCTATCCATCAGTTTAAGACTTTTGGCAATCCGACCAGCGGTTCCAAAGATTACCCCCTACAAACAAACTTACAAATTACAAATCTCTTTACAATATTGGTAAAGAAGTACAGTTAATGTATGATGAGAATTTTAATTCTTGAACATAGTGTAAACCTAAAATAGACTTTCTATCTATCTAAACTCTGTTTCAAAAGTTTGGTAACTAAATTGGGTTTTTTTAAGAAATTGATACCTACATCCTACATATATATTATGAGATACCAAGTTTCATAGGTTAGTAGTTATTTTATGGGATAAGTCGACAAACGAGCCTGCGGATTACCTGATGGTAAGCAATCAGCGCGGCCCATGGACACCTGCAACACCAAAGAAGTTACGAGTGCGTTGCCGGCCTTTTGGGGATAAGGTTTTTGGATATTTAAGGAACGGGAAGGGATGGGGGAAGGGGTAGGGATTGGGCCTCCAATAAGTCGAAACACAACGCTGTAGTTTTTTCACGTCGGTTTTATGTGAGGCTGTGGTATCACTTCGGTCAGCCAAAACATTGTATATGATAAAGTTAAAACCTTTATTGATCATCTGAATGTTCTAGAAACACTAATGAGCCATGGCGTTCTCATGTCAGTTTCCCATATCAATTGTAACGGATGGTACCTATACATTAATTGCTTCTATTATTACTTCCAAAGGGATTGGTAGATGTAGTGCATAGTCATTCATTTAGTTCTAGAAAAGTGTCTTTTTGTCTATGTGTGAGTAGTATCGTATTGCCATTTATATTCGCAGAGACGTGCTTTTGCCTTGTCATGTGTGCATGATTGTCTCGATGATCGGACGACTGTAGATAAGTGCAATTGCTGCCGAAGAAGTCTTCGGTTCGTTCCCAGGGTTGTTGAACCTAGGGTTCTTTTAAAATCATCTTATGACTTCTCCTGTCCTAAATAGGGTGAGAGTCAGACCCTTACTGACTAAAAATCACTTCGTTCTTTTTCGATCATTATTTATTACCTGTAAATTTCCGGGACTGGACTAAGAGGAGACTTTTGGTTTTTCCGTACGTTAAGTATTAGTACGGCATATGGATTGCGCCCGGTGAATCAACAGGGTAACATTTGCTTATATGTAGATAGATTGGAAGTGAGTATCACGTTCGGGGATTTAGAGGCATCTTATATTTTTTTTTAAATAAATACTAGATAAGACAAGTGTTGTTCATCAACAAATTGCGGCCGTCAATCTTACTTGAGTCCTGTCGGAAAATTCTTACGTAATTCTAATTAACAATTGCACTAACAACTTAAATTAACGGAAGACGGAAAATATATTGCTGACATACATATTTGTCTAGTATTTTTTTTATGTTGCAAGTTGTTTTATTTCTACGCTTGTCGTAGAAATAAAACAACTTCAACATAATACTTATGCATGAAAAGAATATATATACTTATTGAATATAAATTTGTTGGTTGTTTT